ATCTGGAGTCTGAAATTACTCTTGAATTTCATTCAATTCTTGGCACTAATTGAGTATTTGTGCTGTATAATTTATAAAGCTGATGGAGAGCAGAGTGCCGATGTGTCCTCTTATTAAATTCCAGGTCTCAGTCGAGAGTGTGACTACAGCTGTAATGAAATCAGATTTGCAAAAGAGTGAGGGGCAGAAGGACACATGCAAGCATATATTAAGAGTAAAGAAGAGCACGGAGGAAAAAAGGGGAAAAAAAGTGCCTGGTTTGCATGATCAAACAGTACAGTCCTGCACTTTAAACAAAACACATTCCATCAACTATTGATTAATTATACCACATAAAACAAACATTAAAACCACATAGTCTTTTGAACAAGGTTAAAGAGTAACTAACCACAAACCTACAGAAAACATTAGACAACAGTGCTTTAGTGGGCTCCCTGTGGCCATGTTTGAGGCACCACATCTATCTGATATCTGACCTCAGTAACAATGAATTTGCACCTGCAGGGGATTGACTCTACTCGCTACCTAGCATTGATCAAAGACTGAAATGGGTCATTCTCCACCACAAGGCTTGGTTCGACCCAGTAAAGAGCAATATACAGTGTTGTAAATATTGAGAAACACAGGAGGACTCACCTCAGCAGCTGTTGATTTTCTCAGGAGAAACCGCTATTAACACTTTCAGGACCTCACTGGAACAAAAGCAAACCATTAAAAGTAACTGCATGCCGGTAACGGGTGTAACAGGAACACTGAGCTGCTTGTGGAAACCAGATCCATCTGTGAGCCATTTATAATGATATTAGATTAAAAGACCTTGGAATTCTGTAGCACTGACAAAGTCAACGAGTGGACTTCCATCAAGGAGTGAAAAAAAAACTGAGCTCTTTAAGATGTGCAGATTATCTGTAGGATGAAATTACAGAGAACGGAGTTAACATTTGTAGTTGCACAAAACTGAAACATTAACCAAGTCAGCTTCTCTACAGATATTAATTTTAATGGAAAAGATTTTGGTTGAGAGAGGAAAGTGTTGATTTGCTAATCTTAGACTTGACATTGATAAAAGTCAGCTTTGGGACACTGGAATTGACAGACGGATGAAAAAAAAAAAAGTGAGTGAGCAGCAGAAGGACGTATTTAAGCAGAGTTTATATTATATTAAGCATTAGAGAGGAGTAAATACAAGAGAGTCAAAAGTAATTACCTCTCAACATCCTTGGTCATCAACACAGACGCCTCACTTTGGGGGGGAAAAAAACAAAAACAAAGTACAAACTAAAAGAAATGGTATCAAACAGACAAAAAAATAAAGAGGCACAGCAGACATGTGGAGAGCGTTCATTTAAAAACTCAGTCACAAGAGGTAAACTGACATTAACAAGCAGTTATCAATGCAGCCATGAATGAAAAAACCCTGAAACTATTTAGTGTGCACATTGCTATATGGATTTCAAACTTTTCCTATAACCAAATATTGTAAGGGCGGTTTAGTCAAATCTTTGGAGGACTCTCACCTGGGCAGCTGTTGAGTCTCCTGAATAGAATGTTTTACAAAAATGGGTTTAATACCAGACTTCAGGCACTGTCAACAATTTGAGATGACATTTTAAAAAAGACATTTTCTGCACATGGTGCTATAGCATAACTTGTGTCAATACACATTTACTCTTATCAATTCCTGAGGATGTTGAATATCAGTGATTTAACAAAAATGGCGCTTTACTCAGATTAATTACATACACCGAAATGCTTCACAACCACTGCGTTTGGTCTGGATCCACAATTTAAACCATTATAATTCAGCACTGCTCAGAACCAAATAAATATACAAATAAACCTATACAAGCATTGTGTGGATGAATTTCTGAATGTTACTCACCCATTTCCAGCGACAAGGAAGGACTTGAAAAAGCAATTAACTATTAATCCTCAAACTCACAGATCGTTTGTGAATAAAATAAGAATCAAATTCCTTCAGAACATGCCAACATTGAGTCTTAACTGAAAAGCAGACACAAAAAAAAAAAAAACACTAGTGATAAACTAAAGAAACACAGTTATGGAAATATACATTCACAATACACACTGAATACTCTCCTCTGAGGCGGTTACTAGAAAACTCACCTGCCTGTAGCTCACCTCCAGTAACCCTTAGACCTTGATTAGTATATTCAGGTGTGTTTGATTTGGGTTGGAGCTGAACTCAGCAGGACTGTGGCTCTCCAGGACCGACATTGGCCACCCCTGGGTTAGATGTTTCAGTACCATTAAAATCACATCTATATAGGCAGTGTAAATAATTACAAGAACAAAGTACAAGAGAAAAATAAACAACATTAAAAAAAAAATACTCACACACAATGATTTCAATCTCCAGTAAGTTATTCACTCTCCAACCTCCATCTTACACTGACAATCCTGTGAAATTTCAGCATTTATACTCATGGACACAACCATTGACGGGGATGCAAGCAACCAGGAATTACATTCACCAAATAACCAAATCTCAAGATTATAATCTTTTTGTACATGCATTAATCCACAAATTATTATTTAAAAGCCATTTATGCATAGTTCAAGTAATTCAATTTTAAAACCACAAAAATCCTTTTTATCATTTGGTTTCTCCCACATCCCATGATGCACCACAGCACAGATATAAAAGTTCATTTCAGGAGATGTTCTGGTTTTTCTAGTGGTTCCAGTAGTGATGGAAGAAACGAAGCTTTTCGAAGCATTGAATCAATTGAACCGATTGCTTCGAAAAATGATTCAATGTTTCGAAGCACTTGAAACAGCACATGCTACCATCACTAGGTTCCAGAAAGCTGTCAGATTGGGTGCTCATACAGGCCGTTTTTTTTTTTTTTTTATTTGTTAAATAAGCACTCTACTAAGCTCAGCTGTGACTGTACGGAGTTTTACAGTTATATTGAAGTTGAAATTTAAAAAGTGCCATGACCTGCTCAACATAAAAAGGTAGGAATGATTACATATTGCATATACAACAGTTCTCTCTGGTCCTCGAATCTGATTGGCTGAGAGGCCTTTACAACCATGAGATATTCACCAATATCGCTATGGGAACCGCTTTACTGTTTGCATCACTCTGCTTGCAGTATTTCTCACAGCGCGTGTCATGGCGGACGCACAAACCCACTATAATTTTATAAAAAATGATGTCGCTGGGTCATGGTATGTAGTTTTAAAGTTTTTAGGCGAAAAATTTATTTTTTAAGCTTCAAATATGCGGTTTTTCAGTAAAGATAACACCTATTTGAACATTTGCTTCGATGTTTTTGGAGATGTGAGCTCCAGCGCGTCAGCGACCATTCAGTGCTCATGAACCCGCCGAGAGCAGCCTCACCTCGGCCAGATCTTCAGAAGGTTGCCGCTAGATCTGATGTCTCTCTATAGTGATTAAACATGAGATATAATTTGTTTTGGGTAAATCTAACGGGCAATCTCCGGTCTCATTAATCTATTATTTGTTCCAGAGCAAATATTTTTTGGTTGAGGGCATAGTCTGATAACGTTATTGCGTATTTTATATAAAGTGAAAGTGAAGAGACATGTGGCCAAGTATGGTAACCCATACTCAGAATTTGTGCTCTGCATTTAACCCATCCAAGAGCACACACACAGCAGTGAACACACACACCGTGAACACACACCTGGAGCAGTGGGCAGCCATATTGCTGCGGCGCACGGGGAGCAGTTGGGGGTCCGGTTCTTGCTCAAGGGTCTCACCTCGTGGTATTGAAGGTGGAAGAGAGTGCTGGTCACTCTCTTCCCCCACTCCCCCCTCCCCTCCATTTTGATTTTGATGCTTTTGAATGTAAAAACCATGCGAACGTCATAAGTGGACCTCAGACAAGTGGTTCAAGGCCAGTGATTTTCACCTTCATGATGGATGATAGCTTTCTGTCCAGAGCCAAACTGTTCCTAATTTTGGTTTTGTTGAATCCTACCATAGAGAACACTCTGCATCTGCATTCGAGTGGGGAAGCCACAGTGCTTTAAGTGGGAGCCCGACCCCTGTCATCAAGGCATCAAAATGGGCAACAAACACTTACAACAGAAAAACAAACATTCAGAAGCTAAAATTAGGGCTGGGCAATATAGCAAAAAATTTATCATGATATAATGTATCATTCAGTATCGATAATTATTCAAAAAATATTTATAACCTTTCTTAAACAAAGAGCAGTAGAAAAAATGTTTTTAATTTACCCAATTTATTAAGACAAAAAACTACTTATTTTAGTTTTAACAGTCAAACACAAAATAAAATTGAAACAAATATGTCATTTTTTATATTTTGTATGCAGATTTATTAAGTGTTAAGGAAACATTTGGCCTGTCGCCTGAGGCCACAGGAGGGCGCAACGAGCAAAATAATGCACCTCATTAAACCTAATTGTTTATTCAAAGCAATGAAATAGCAGCTATAAAAAAGTGCATACCGTCTAAACTAACATTTATAAATCAAATATAATTTCGTAAATTGCATAAACAATATGAACAAAACAGCATCATGTATTTATGCATAGCTTAATACAAATAACCAAAAGCGCCGATCACACGATTGCATTTAAAAACATATGAGAAGCAGTGGAATGGAATAAAACCCCACAAATTCTAGTTTTCTAAAAGTTGAACCTCTTTTAACTTTACATGGCTTTCTATTCATCTCGTGTGAGACGCGAGTGTTCAGTCATAGTTGTGCGTCTCAAGAACGCGCAGAATATGCGTTCTGTGTAGATGGCTTGGTTTGATTTTTAACCTAACCAATATCTTCTCCGCATTGAGCTTCTATATTTCTCTAATATTTAGAATGAAAAATGCAGCTTCGGCGCAATTTGTGGATTCAACTGGATAGAATAACAAAAACATTAGTTTTTTTCAATTGCTAACATCCCTTTGTCCAATCTGTAGTCACATTTTCAAAACTCTAAACACAATTAGCACAACATCCGTCTGTTGTGACCATACCATTAACACAATTCATGTTGTTTTCACACAATATTCAGTCAATTAACACGTTTCTAAAATGCTTACATTTTCTTTTCACACAAGCTTACCCAAAATCATGGATCTTTCTTATCTTTTTTTTACAAATGCTTAAACACAGCGTAACAGAAATGAAGACCTAATGTTCCAAACTTTAAATATAGTGTAAAGCCTCTACTTCTGCAACAACAGCAGCTTAAAAGAGCTGATAAGAATTATTTTAATTACTGATAATTGAGAAATAGCTGATTCCAATCTTAATGATTAATTCCAAGTCTTTCCATTACATGGCCATGCACAATAAAAAGGCACTCTCTGGACTGGTTTTGTTCCAAACAATACAGAACAACACCGAGAATGAGAAAAAATAAATAAAATGTCTGGACGCGGGAGAGTTGGACGAAGGAGAGGAATAGTTGGACAAGGCAGAGGACAAGGTGGACTAGGGAGAGGAATAGTTGGACAAGGCAGAGGACAAGGTGGACTAGGGAGAGGAATAGTTGGACAAGGCAGAGGACAAGGTGGACTAGGGAGAGGAATAGTTGGACAAGGCAGAGGACAAGGTGTACTAGGGAGAGGAGTAGTTGGACCAGGCAGAGGACTGATCAAATGTCCCTCCTGGATGCAATGGAGGCTGGCTGCAGAGACATCTCAGCTGAAGACTGCCAGGGGTGGATAAGGCATGCTAAGCGTTTCTATCCAAGGTGCATAGCAAGAGACAATATAAGGTGTGATGTCGACGAGAACATGTGGCCAAATGCTGAAGATCGTATAGATTAGAACTGTACTTTTTCTGTTCCTTTTTTGTCTGTCATTTTGTTTTATTTTTGAAATTTATTTGCACCAAAGGGCAAAGGGCTGTAT